TTCCTCAGTGATCAATGCAAAGAAATAGAGGAAAACAAAAGAAAGGGAAAGACTAGAGATCCCTTCAAGAAAATTAGAGATACCAAGAGAACTTTAAATGTAAAGATGGGCACATAAAGAACAGAAGTGGTATGAACCTAACAGAAGCAGAAGATATTAAGAAAAGGTGGCCAGAATACACAGAAGAACTATAAAAAAAGATAATCACAACTCAGATAATCACAATGGTGTGATCACTCACCTAAAGCCAGACATCCTGGAAAGGTAAAGTCAAGGAAGCATCACTACAAACAAAGCTAGTAGAGGTGATGGAATTCCAGTTGAGCTATTTAAAATCCTAAAAGATGATGCTGTGAAAGTGCTGCACTCAATATGTCGGCAACTTTGGAAAACTCAGCAGTGGCCACAGGACTGGAAAAGGTCAGTTTTCATTCCAATCCCAAAGAAAAGCAATCCCAAAGAATGCTCAAACTACTGCACAATTGCACTCATCTCACACACTAGCAAAGTATTGCTCAAAATTCTCCAAGTCAGGTTTCAACAATACACGAACCATGAACTTCCAGATGTGCAAGTTGGGTTTAGAAAAGGCAGAGGAACCAGAGATCAAATTGCCAATATCTGTTGGATGACTGAAAAAGCAAGAGAGTTTCAGAAAAACATCTACCTCTGCTTTATTGACTATGCCAAAACTTTTGACTGAGGGGATCACAATAAACTTTGAAAATTCTTAAATAGATGGGAATACCAGACCACCTTACCTGCCTCTTGAGAAATCTATATGCAGGTCAGGAAGCAACAATTAGAACTGGACATGGAAAAACAGACTGGTTCCAAATCGGGAAAGGAGTACATCAAGGCTGTATATTGTCCCCCTGCTTATTTAACTTATATGAAGAGTACGTCATGAGAAACACTGGGTTAGATGAAGCACAAGCTGGAATCAAGATTGCCAGGAGAAATATCAATAACCTCGGATACACAGATGGCACCACCCTTATGGCAGAAAGCGAAGAAGAACTAAAGAGCCTCTTGATGAAAGTGAAAGAAGAGAGTGAAAAAGTTGACTTAAAACTCAATATTCAGAAAACTAAGATCATGTCATCAGGTCCCATCACTTTATGCAAACAGACTGGGAAACAGTGGAAACAGTGACAGACTTTATGTTTTTGGGCTCCCAAATCACTGCAAATGGTGACTGCAGCCATGAAATTAAAAGATGCTTATTCCTTGGCAGGAAAGTTATGACCGACCTACACAGCATATTAAAAAGCAGAGACATTACTTTGTCAACAAAGGTCTGTCTAGTCAAAGTTATGGTTTTTCTAGTAGTCATGTATGGATGTGAGAGTTGGACTATAAAGAAAGCTGAGTGCCAAAGAATTGATGCTTTTGAAGTGTGGTGTTGGAGAAGACTCTTGAAGTCCCTTGGACTGCAAGGAGATCCAACCAGTCCATCCTAAAGGAATAATCATTGGAAGGACTGATGCTGAAGCTGAAACTCCAATACTCTGGCCACCTGATGAGAACTGCCTCATTTGAAAAGACACTGATCCTGGGAAAGATTGAAGGCAGAAGGAACAGTGGACGACAGAGGATGAGATGGTTGGATGGTACCACTGACTCAATGGTCTTGAATTTGAGTAAACTCTGGGAGTTGGTGATGGACAGGGAGGTCTGGCATCCTGCAGTCCATGGGATTGCAAAGAGTTGGACATGCCTGAGTGGCTGAACTGAACTGAACTGATCATGTATTCATGGCAGTTGTAGTGTATCATTTTTCATTTAAAATAGAAAATTGGAAGCTTTTCTAGTTTTTGTTCTTTTACCCTATATTCAAACATTTCACATTTGCAGCTCAAGAAAGCCCAGTGGTGTGGGCTTTCTAGGCAGTGCATTGGAGGCTGTGCTAAGAATCTGCCTGCCAATGCGAGAGATGCAGGAGACATGGGTTTTATCCCTGGGTCGGGAAGATCCCCTGAAGTAGGAGATGGCAACCCACCTCACTATTCTTGGCAGGAAATTTCCAAGGACAGAGGAACCTGGCAGGCCACAGTCTAGGGATCACAAAGAGTCAGACATACTGAGCAAGCACACACGTTACATAATATAGACGATCTGGAGGACACAAAAAGTTGATGGCTGACTTTTTTATACCTGACCATGATAGGTATACTACTGCTACTCCATTATTCCATTATTTTTGCAACAGAATGCAAAGGCCTTTCATTCTGAGTCATTTCAGACATTCATAGCAGTCAGCAGAGACTTTAAGCAGCAGTTGTTCTCACAGTGATATTTAACTTGAGGCATGATTTTTTCCCCATGGAGAAGACAATGGCAACCCACTCCAGTAATCTTGCCTGGAAAATTCCATGGATGGAGGAGCCTCGTAGGCTACAGTCCATGGGGTCGCAAAGAGTCAGACACAACTGAGCGACTTCCATTTCACTTTCACTTTTTTGCCCATACAAAACTAATAACTTAAAAATTTTACATTCCTTCTTCAAACGACAACAGAAAGACAAATGATCAAGGCCATGTTTCAGACTATCAAAAATAATATAAAGACCTGGTTTTCATCTTAAAGTTGGAAGTGATTTTGATCTCTACCCACATCTCCTTTTACAGATAACTGAGGCCTGGAAGAGTTTAATGAATTCTCCAAGCACACACGATTAACTGGGTTATAAGAATTAAAGAGTTAGGATTAAGAACTGGGCCTCACGACCTTTAGAAGGTTTTTCTACACCAAGCAAAAATAACTTGACATCCGTTTCTATGTGTTGGGTTGTAGATTCACTGTGGAATCAAGTTTCTTCCTCCTTTATTATGTTTCTACTACTTTTGCAAAAGATGGATCATTTTTTTTTAAATTATTGGCCACTTTTTGATTCACTTACTCTATACAGATACAGATATCAATTATATGTATATATCTACAACTTTATCTCTACAGTTCAATCTTGTTTATTTGAAAACATTTCTAAACTAGGCAATTGATAATTTTCAATATATCTTAAATATAGAGAAGAATGATTTGAGAGAAGAAGTTATGGTAATTTAACTGGTCTATATTGGAAAAGACAGAAAAACTTTCATGAATAAGTATGTAAACTGCTGAAGAATTGGGCAATGTAAAAATAGACAAGAAATACACAAATTCATCTTGGAAAATGTAAAGAGAAAGAAAAGAGAAAGTTGAATAGAAATCAAACAGAGTATTTTTATCTTTCATCTTTATTTGAAAAAGGACAAGAAGAAAATTTATTAAAACTATAATGAAATGAGTCAATCTAAAAAATAATAAATGAGAAGTATTTTTACTGAAACCTACTCAGACCAGGAGGGCCAGAAAGTCTTTGTTGCAACAAGGCAACTGGTATTGAAGTATACAAAACCCTTTTTATTTCAATGTCACATTAAATCCTGGAGCATAAGACCAGGGGCAGACTACAGAGTCTGGTTCTCCAAGACAAGAGTATACAGACCACAGTTAAAATAAAATGCCAACAATGTTCCTAACTAAATGAAAAACAATTAGCAAAATAATTAGAAAATATATCTAAACACATTCTTAGCACTATTTAGGCTGAGAAAGTAAGAATGATTGTGATTTGATGTTTAGATAATAAAACAGGTTGTACATTATACAGCACACTCTACAGGAAGAATTATCTTATACTTCAATATCTGTGGGGGAAATTAGGATAATCACAGGGTTAAAAAAAAAGGAGAGACTTTATTTCCTTTACACATATTCAGGATGCTATCCTAATACCCACATATCAAATAAATGACAAAAGTGATAATTAGATTTATATGAAATATATCTATTATTAACATTAGAGTGGATGTGGGAATTGAATGAAAAAACACATTTATAACACCCAGTACAATACCAGGCATTATACTAGGAATGATTTTAATAATCATTTCTTATAATCATTACTCCAACCTCCTGCAACCCTGAACACTAATGTTACCTCAACACTAATGATGACCCTCAACACTAATGTTACCTCCCTAAAGGTATCATAAAATAAAGCCTGATGTCTATGTTCAAGAAAGTAAGCTAATGATTTTCCTTTTTGGTCTCTACTGACATTCTCAGGAATTTAAAACTCTAATTAATCCCTTTCCTCATTCTGATGCAAACAAGAATTAAATAATAATAACAATAATAAAGGTACTCAGAGGATATTACTTACATTCTAGCTTCAAATATTTAGATTAACAGTCCTCAGTCCTGAGTCCAGCCTCAAGGCTTTAGAGCTGCTCTTAGCCCCTCCCACCAACCTCTGCCCCAGGATTGACAGATAACTCTCTGAACGCATGGCACATTCCTTAGTCACTGTTTTCTCACAGATTCTTTTAAAGTTCTTTATATACACCATTTACATTTCCCCAACATGTATGCTAAACTGCAATTCACTATATACACATTTACTGCAAATTTAATATGTGCACAGCAAACATCTTGTCCTCAGGTCTGTGATTAACCCCTACACAAAAAAATCCTGAAAATAATTTAATAGGCTCTCTTCCAATTCACATTTCCAGAAACATTTCCAAAGATTTCTTAAAACACTTTTGAAAACATTTATCAGTATGACAGTTCCTATTTAAGGACTACGCTCTTATAAGCGGAGCTTTCAAAATATTAAATGAGATATTTTTCATTTTTTTCCATTTTTGAATGAATCTAGAAAAATTGTTTTTACAGTTTGGACATAACATTGGAGAATCATTAGGTTTCACAAGGAACTAACCCAAACACCTGTTAATTACACAGTGTTATTCATATTCCAAAAATGGAACTATCTGAAATGAATCTGCAGTCAGTTAAATTAAACTTACAGAAAAGACAACCTGTCACACACATAGACTCACTACACTCCATCCTCCCATGCCCACCACACACATACAAGGAAAAATAATTTGTGATTTTTTTTTTTAAATCAAGTGTACTCTTTATCTCAGCTGCCACGTGGCCTTACCTGCAGCCATAACTTGTTATGCACAGCATCTCTCCCTGTAGCAATACATTGAAAAGTAGCATTCTGCCCTGCATTGACCTCTACGTCCCCCAAACGGAGGAAATGAGGAGATTTATCTGTGAAGGCAAGAAAAAATTATTTTCTTTCACATGAAGAAAACATGCTGTGTTATTTTTTCCGAACAGAATAATGTTGTTAATCCTTTTAAAGCTTTGGCCAAGACTAATGTCATATGGAAGTCTTCTCAGGGCTGAAAGACACCGTTGCATCTCTCAGGGTCAGTTCTCTTTATCTCAGGATCTCTACTGTGTATTGCACGGTAATTGACAGAGCAATCCCGTACAGTGAGCACCCAACAATTACTGCTTGAGGCCCCCGGCAGCATGCTGCATACAGGGGACAATAAAAGTTACGTATCAAAGCAATCAAAAGATTAAACAGGTGCAAAGCGTGGCCTAATAGAAAGATATAATGGGAACAGAAGGACGGCTCAAACATGGACGTGTACATGGCCGTTGAACTATTAAATCACACTTGAAGCAGTTAGAGCTTTCTTTCCCTTTTTTAAAAATTTCAGTAACTACTACATAATCCTCTAGTACTTCAAAGAACAAGGGACTGTTCTTCCTTCTCTCAAGCAGAGCATTAATTTAACTGTTGTTAAATCCACTTCTTATTGCTTTATAGTCCTAAGAAAGTTACCCGAAAGAAATATTAGGCCAACAAAACAGTAACGACTGCAATCAAAATATACATGACTTACGTGACTGTCAAACAAGCATGCTCTTATAATTACCTTTTAAAGCTAAAGCTATGTATGTTTTCAACTGAAAGGAACTATAAACAAGAAAAGCTAACCCTCAGTGAGTAAAGAGAGAGCATGAAGGACCATATCACAATGAAACTACTGTTGTGCTCAATTTAAACATTTTTTTAAAATTTGGTTAACTCGTGAAAGTCTTTCTTAACATCTTCTTTCAAAAGGCATGTAAATGAACAATAGATGGAAATATGGTTCTCATATATGAATGGACTGAAAGAGTTTAGTAAGCCAACTTGAACTTTGAGTGAGATCATTTTTTTCCCCTTTTTCTTAGATTACACCAGATGTATTTGACTACATATATTTCTTAGGCCACACCACAATCATTTGACTCTTGCCTGCTTCATCTTCCCCTCGGGCCTCATCTCAGTAGGTGCTTCACAAAAGGAACGCTTGCACTAAACAGAAGCTAGAACAGTGCTCCTGTCTTAGGAACAAAGACCAGCAGCGTTAGAATCTCCTGAGAACATTGAGACCCAGGAGGAGCCTGGCAACCTGTGATCTGCCACATGCTGCTGGCGATTCTGCTGCACATCAGGGCTTGACAACCAGTTAGCAGGAGTATGAGTCTTGGCATGGCAGCCTTTGCGCACGCTGCTTACAAACTATTAGAGAATTTCCACCAGGAGGATTACGGAACAGATCACCTAGGATTCATGGGCCCTAAAAAATGCTGCTGTTGGGAGATATAGCTGAAGTATGAACTGCTTTATGCCTGGCTCTACTGAATGCATGCAATAAATGTCTTTCAGGGTATGTGATGTAAACACAAATTTAGTTACACCATCTGAAAACCAACTAATGTTTGGGACATACCAAATGATGTGCAAATAAATTCAGTTTCTTGTTTTGTATGCTTTCTATTGTCTTGTTTATTGTGAATTAGCCAGATATTTACTATGACATGAAAAGATTAGTTCTAAATTAAGAATAAGATGAATTAATTCATTTCCCTCCAAGTTTCAACTTAGATCACATAAGTTAATACAGCTTCTTTTCACTGAATTCTGGTTTGTTATTCTTTGCATTCCTAGGCAATTTAATAAAGTCAAAAGATGGAGTGAGTCCCTTGATTTTTATTTTCTTCTGTAAAAATAACATCAACTAAATAAATTGAAGATCTAATCAGCTTTGTTAGGAGATTCATGAATGAGGCAACATTCCATCTATCAACTGGAAGACAGATCCAAGGGGTTATACAAACAGAAAGTTTTTACAAGAAGGGTGGGACAAGGGAGCTATTAACAAAAAGAAAAGAAATTACTATTTATTTTTCTTCTTTGAAGACGAAAAGGAACAGCAAGAGTTTTATGATTCAGGTCACCTCTTCTTCCTCTGGGGCATAGAGAAGGATCACAGGACAGATTCTCTTACTGGTGCTTGACCATAAAATCAAGACAAGCCAATTAAGATTAGGTTTTTGGAAGAGGCTGAAACTGAAATTAGACCAGGTATAAATTAAGGTTTGGTATCATGGAATTTTAGCATGAGCGACACCATTTTGAGACTGTGGTTTTCTTTTGAACATTAACTGAACAATGAAAAGAATCTTTTAACATGTGCACAAGTCTGAAAAACATTTGATTCAAAAACTCTAGAAATACCTCAGTGATCTTTTTGGACTGAACAGAAAACTAGAAATAACAACAACAAAAGAGACAGCAATGACCAAGTGATAAACAATCAACAGTCACTACCAATATAAGACAAGTGTTGAAAGGAGGTGGAAAAATACAATTCTTAATCACAACCTACCACAAGGATAGCTCAGGACTTGGATGTCATCAATGGCAATATAACCACTTCTCCCTCCTGAGACTTCAGCTTCAAATATTACCTGTCAGGAAGAAACAGAAAACATTTACAACAATCATTTTTAAGGTATTTTCACAGTGAAGGAAGAATAGCTGTAACACACCTAAGAAAACTAAAATTTAATTTTTGTCCTATAAAAATTAAAATGGTGTCTTATACTGTGAGTAATTTCTTAAAACATGTACAGGAAAACAAAATATTGTTTGAAGAGCAATTAAATTATTGAGGTCAGCAGTTCTCAATAAATTTTTTAAGCAAATATCATTGATTTCCTGAATGGGCAATATATAGGCAGATATAAAAAATCCATTATCCCTAAATTTTCCCTTACTGACTTTTTCCATTTTTTTAATTTATTTCACATACATTGAACATCAACTTGAAGCAGTATGCTAACCGGCTAAGACATCAACTGATCTAAGCTTTTAAATGCAGTAGCTGAATTTTCAAAGAAAAGCGGTCATTAGATAGCTATTATGCCAGGTAAAAGCAACCACATAAAATAGAAACCAAATGAACGTAATCTGTATGGCTACTAAAACTCAAGACAGAGGAGATAAAATCAGAGAACTAGGCATGGAAGATTTTGAATACCAAGGAAGTGAAAACTAGGAGTATATCCTGTAAATGGTTAATCAATTTTAAAAATAAATATATGTATGTATTAACAAACATTTTAATAAATATATTTTTAAAAATCAGTGTTCAAATATAAACTCATGTTATAGAATTTTGTTATAGTCAGCAGTAGAACTTACTTAATAGACTTTCCCTTAACCTTAATAACGTGTGCTGTTACTTTTCAAGAGAAAGTAGATTTAGCATGCCAAGTTTAAATATTTTACTTTATGATGGGCTCCTTTATTTATGGAGATACATGGGTCATCATAGAAGTATTTTGCAAAATATTTTAGGAAACACATTGGAAATTGATGTTTAAAATAGGAATAAAATACAATCAAATTGGCCTACTAGAAATATATTTGCTTCAAAGGTGAAGAATGGCCCCAAGAAAAGACTAGAAACCAAAAGATTCTAGTAGCAGTGAAAATAGAAAGATGAGATGAAAAAGGAAAGATAAAGAAATAATGCTAAGGAAATATTAAAAAATAGAAAATATTGATTCATTAGTTGTAGAGAAATAATAGGACAATTCTGATTTCTGGCTTGGGTCCCTAGGGACTGTACTGCACTATATTGTCTATTGCCAAGGAAGGAGGAAATTTTCCTCTCTATCCTTCTTGAGTCTTGTGTCTGGACTAATAATAAAATTGGCACAAGACCGATTAACGAGAAAAAGATCAAATTTTAATCCTGTACAGAGAGACCTCCTAGAAATGGGACCTAAGAAATGGCCGAAGCAGGGAGCTTTTATGCTTTCTAGACGAAGAAACAATAAATCCGTGGGGAAGTGGGCAATGAAACTTTGTGCTCAGTTAGTGAAGAACCTAAACAGAGTTTGGACCCGGAGCAGTAAATTAGAGAAGTAACATGTTTGTTCACACAGGTTTTTCAGCTTCAAATTCTCGACCTCCGGTGTTCAGGGTGTCTTTCTACCCCCAGAGGCAGAAGGTACAGCTTTCACATGAGAAACTTACTTTCTGCTTTCAGAGAGATGGAAAGGACAGTCAGAGTATCCCTCTTGCGTTGGCCATTGCTAAGTAACTTCAATTCAAAATAATCAGTATATCATTAAGCATCATTAATCATAATTGGGCAGCCTGCCCCATATCCCAACATTATCAGGATCCCTAGCTAGAACACGTTATACAGAAAAAGGTACAGATTTGAGGAAGAAGATAACTAAGTACATTTCAGACAGAATAGATTCGCTAAGCCTAAAATACATATGGGGTAAATGCTTAGGAGATAACCAAACAGATATATCTCAGGATGAAGAAACAGGTTTAGAATAAAGCTATAGATTTGAAAGTCATCATCACGGTAGTGAGTAAGCTATAGATCTGAAAGTTAAAGGTGAGTAATATGGCATAGGAAGATAAAGAGGAATAAACCACTGCAATGGAAGGCAAGACGACAGTCAGCAGAAGTAAGGTCAGCAATGGACAGTTCAGACTTAACGGTCGAGGAAGGAAGAGAAGGATCCGGAGCTTATGGGCAGGTCAACACTCCCACCAAAAGGATTAGAAAAGGCCAAATAAATTATAATAACTATAATTTTAAAACATCTGCATAGACAACAGCATCTAAAGGGGCACAAATTTTGAAGTACAGGGTCTCTCCAATGTGATCCCAGGATTCTCATTTCTCATGGGAATATTTGCCAATTCTGCAATCAGGCTGTGGTTCTAGGACAGACTTAGGACCTCTATGGGAGAAAGTGAAAATACGGAAGCTTGCAGTAACAGTGCAAAAAGAAAACAATAAACTAGAAATTTGAGAGTCTGAATAAAACAGATGTAGGCTTCCCACGTGGCGCTAGTGGGAAAGAATTCCTTCTGCCACTGCAAGAGGCTTAAGAGATGTTGGTTCGATGCCTGAATAGGGAAGATTCCCAGGAGAAGGGCATGCAACTCACCCCATTATTCTTGCCTGGAGAACCCCATGAACAGGGGAGGCTGGCTGGCTACAGTCAATAGTGTCACAGAGTTGGACAAGACTGAAGAGACTTAGCATATGCAAGCACAGGTCACGGCAAAAAGCATGAAATGCAGGAGAGAGCTCAAGGAAAGCTAAAAAAGAATCAATTAAAGTTAGCCATTAGGAGTCTTCTGGTAATATTTGACACAGCTAGTGTTACTGAAGTGGAGGGGGATTTTTATTGAGCACTTACTATACTCAAGAGACTATTCTAACTGAGCATGTTCATTCAGGCTCACATCTACTTTTGTTTCCCTCCTCTCTCCTTACCTCTCTCTCTGCACACACACAAATATTATTTCTTAATTAGAATCACACCAGGTAGTTATTACTTTTATCCTCAGTTTAAAGAAAAGTTAAGTGGCTGCATCTAAGTCTAACAATTGACAAGTCTTAGAGCCAAGAATGAACCCAAGCCAACCTCCAGGTTCTAATCTATCAACTTCACTATATTTCCTTTCAAGTTAGAGACACAAATGCAGTGGAATATTCCTTTAAATAAGCTTTAAATTTCCTTTAAAAGTCTAATATGTTAACTTTTTAAAGTGTCATTTTAAATAGCAAACTAATCAGGTATTATACTAGCTAAATAGAAGTATAATGAGCATGACACCCTTTCCATTTTCATACCATCCCAATATCCACCCCAAAGCCAGTGACGGGGACACGGCAGGCTGCATGATGACCCGCCCCCTCTTCAGTCACTCCCACCATGAACTGGCTCCTATGCTAATTCTCTTCTCCTTCAGGTCTGCACTTTATGATTATTAATTTCCCTGGAATAAGCTGAAGTTGTGAAGTAAAAGAGATTTCTGTGGGAAGACAATTGCTTCATGATGAAAAGAGGGCTAATCGATAAAGACAGAAATACATGTGAGTGCATGTGTGAGTGTGTGTATACCCAATTTGCATTTCCTGTGAAGGTTTTGATACAACTGTTATGTCATTTCCTAAATAGTGGAACAAAGACTTAGCAAGAAACAGAAGAGAAAATCAGAAACTTTAAATAAAGTATAATTTGAAGCAGTTGTGGTACAGGTCACATTCTCAGGTATGAGAAATTTTGTTTTTGACACCCACTTTTCCTGTATACAAATCACTGAGCAAATCACATAACCTTTTAGAGCCAAGTCTCATTATTCTTGCCTGGAAAATCCATGGATGGAGCAGCCTGGTAGGCTGCAGTCCATGGGGTCGCTAAGAGTCAGACACGACTGAGCAACTTCACTTTCACTTTTCATTTCACACATTGGAGAAAGAAATGGCAACCCACTCCAGTGTTCTTGCCGGGAGAATCCCAGGGACGGGGGAGCCTGGTGGGCTGCTGTCTATGGGATCACACAGAGTGGGACATGACTGAAGTGACTTAGCAGCTCATTTGGAGATAATGCAGCTTTCTTTATAAAGTTCCATGAAGCTTAAATAGTAGCATCTGTAAAAGTACTATATAAATGAAAAGGTAAGATGATAAACATTGTTAATAAATAACATTTGCATAAGTGTATCCCAGGAAAACAAGCTTTATTTGCTTGAATGGTTGAATGGTAGTTCAAGGAAAGGGAAGGAGGGAAGGCACAGACAGAAAAAAATGAGAAAATTATTTTTGGAAAAAAATACAGTGTTATGAATAGACTATGCAGCTGAATAATCAGTTCATTATTTCAGTTTTGTTACAATTAGCATTAATTAAATTATGCCAATTCTAGTCTTATCTTAGTTTTACTTTCTTGAATTGTTCTACTTACTTTGCTTCATGTAGGTGATAAGTTTAAACATGTTTTACCACATCCCTGAGGAAAACTGTCTTATTTGTTCATTTAAATTGGGCTTTATTCTGGACAATAAATTTAGGCCTTGATTTAAAATGGAGTGAAAGAATTGGTTCTTTAGTAAAGAATAAAAAAAATGTTTCTCTTTTCAGTGACCTCATTTCCCCCGCTAAGTGTTGTCTCTGCCTCATTAACGAGACGAAGAGGAAATTTCTAAGATCAGATTCCTTTATTGCTAAGGATCTAATCAGCTTTATCACTTCAGCAGAGCTTCTACCTTGTAAGGCTCTCCTGTCCACTCAGGGAAAACCAATCTCAGTAGCTTAATTACGCAGAACTTGCTCGGGCTAATGTCCAGGTCAGAGCTAATGCTGGTGTCAAATAGCCAACGAGGGTGTCCCAGGAGAAGGGAGCAAGGGAAGCCACATGCTGTGTCAACGTGAACCCACCCAGGAGCCCAGCCTGAGAACAGGATGCCAGGGCTCCGCTGTTCACACTGTCCCCACTCCATTCCATCACCTGGAATACTGAGGGGGATTCTAATCAAAATGCTGCTGCTCTAGCAACATTCCTGGATTATTAGCTAAATAAGTGAAGTAAAGTCGAATTAAAGGAGGGGAGAAGGTGAAAGAACAATAATGACGTTATCCTT